ATCTTAGATTTAAAAAGAAAAATTTTTACGAATTCTTAACTCAAAATAATTTGATAATTTTCGTGATTTTTCCATATTCTTTCAAGATTTGAACTTTAAATACTTAAAAAAAAAAAAACTGTAACTAAGGATTTTTAATATTTTTCAAATGTCAATGTAACAATATAGTAAGAGGCTTGTATTAAATTTTCAAGTATTTGTATTCAACAAATACATTTTTATTAATATTCATAAAAAAAAATCTAATAACATTGGATACTGAAAATGTCCCTAAACAGTTCAAAATAAATCACAATATTTTCAAAATGTTATCGTGTATAGAAAATGCAAATATAAGCAACCAGTGAAAATTTCATGTATCTACGGTCATTTATTTTAAAGTTACACCAAAAACCAAATTCAATTTTGTGAAAAATCGATTTTGCGTAAAAATTCCAGTTTTTCCTTAATTTTTCTATTGTTTTTCTTGGCGCTTTTGAAAATTACTGGGAATTTTACATTTTGACCTGCCCAACGCACTAACGATATTCACTTTCCAATCGAACAAGATATTGAATTTGAAAATCGAAGCATTATTTGACTACTTATCGTGTACACAGTCAGAAAAATAAAAAAATAAAAAACACACATCATTGTAAAATCAATACATTCATTGTTCCACTCAGAATCTAAAATAATGTTAATAATAAGAAGAAAAAAAGCCATACTTCAGATAATTCTGTTATGTCTGTGTTTGAGAGATCCGGTGTGACAAAAATTAATTTATATATAAAATAGATTATATTATAACACTCAATAGCTCAAAAATTATCTGAGTTTTGATTTCTGCAGATCTACGAATTGTTTTCAAAAACTTGACACTTTGTACCTTATTAGATATAATAACGTCATGTTAATTATAATTTATATTTTATAGTTTATTAATACAAATAATATGTAAAACTTCATTCACATTCTCTCGCTATAAAACTTCGGTCTTTGAACTTATATTTTATATTATTAAAACTAAAATGAGATGAGATTATCGTTTTCGATCTAATGCTAATGCGAACAATTAAAAACGAATAAATAAAAATTAATTATTATAATATTATATATATAGCTGTTATAGGTACCTACGGATACGATGGTATGCCGGACGCTGGTAAATACCTACTCGGTTGGGAAAGAACCTCGCAATATTTTTTTAGGAACTAACCAATTTGAATTTTTTTTTTTACCGATTTGCTCGAAGATAATTACTGACGAAATGGATAAAATTATTTATATAATTATTCGTTACCCACTAATTTCAGAATATTAAATTTCACAACACCGGCAGACGATACGATCTCGAACAGAAAAATAAATATTCTTATTGGTATGGTACAACGTAGTTACCGATGTATTATACGTATATTATAATGTATACCTACCTATCGAACATGGAGCGGATCATAATATTATATTGTTATTCTTCGTCGAACTGCGATTCGTGCCCACGCACATATTATTCTATAACCGTCACGATAGGATCACGCGTACACAACCTATCCGATAATTATGTTAAAATAACAGACGATTTTAGAGAGACAAAAAAAAATGTAAGTACACAATTCGGTTTATAGATGAAACGTACGATTAGTAGCCATGACGGCAGTAGAGGGGCCTTATCGTTGTAGGTATCCTATATATAATGTATTATCGACAATAATATAATATATAATATAAAAAAAATAACATAATACCTATATTATATAGACGTTCGATCGGGTAAATATTGCAATGTTATAGATATTTAGATATATTCTGGAGCCTGCCGTCTTCAACAACTGTCACTTATAATCATTACACTGTAATATTTTGAACCCAACGAGGTATTGATTGATTACAGATATTAGAGCGGACCAGCTGAATATCGATTAATTTGACTGTATGTACAATAGACCCACATCGCCGGCCTAAATAGCAAAGGGCGTACTGAATTAGGCCAGGCGAAATGTTTGAAACGTTTTATTTTCCTCTCCTGTACAATTTACCATTTTGGACTTTCAGACGATTTAGGCCAACGACGCATGCAGAACTTTACCACAGCAAACCTCCCAAATTATAGGTAAGTACTTCGTTGATCATTCTACATTTTGAAATATTGTAGAAGTGTAAGACATGCTCATTGATTCGCAGTTCAATAATAAAATTACAGAGATTTTAGCTGAAACGAGTCAAGCCTAAATTAATTTTAAATAACATATAATTTCAGTCTTAGATTTAATAAATACAAATCGCAAAAGTATGAGAACTTACTTTATTTAAATAAAAGAATTAAAAATATTTTCCGCATATTACAAGAAAATACTACATTGATATATTATATTTTTTTTTTATCACGCTTTCATATTCAATCATTTAAAATACAAATAAACACGTGAAATGTACTAATTTTTAATATTATATAGGAATACAAATTGGAAAAACTGGCATTGATATAATATAGGTAAAACATAATAATATTATTGCATTGCATTGCATATGTGGGTACGCTCTTGAACATTAGTTTTTCTTTTTCCACCATACACACACCCGGCTTTATGGTTACCCACTCGAATAATATCAGGGTGGCAATTGCACCACCAGTCCTACACACGCCCACCACGAATGCCTCCTTTTAGTCAAGACACGTAAAGTTTATGCTTTATAACGCGTAATGAGTCGTGTAACCATATATTATTATTGTACAACTAAACGGCATGTGTGACAAAGAAGACACACTAAATTCTATACGCACTATATTATAATATATGCGTCGTATTGTACTCTCATACATCGGACTATCGGACGGTGACGACTTGCTAGCGAACATTTCGGAAAAAAAAAGACATCAGTAAAAGAATTTTATCTGAAGAATTTACGTTGTAGGTACTGCTCGGGAGAACAGTGACGGGTGGAATGACTCAGTGCTGGAGGCCTGGAGTTGTTGGACCGAAAAAAAAAATTATTCTGTTCTCTGACTTTTTGGCTTACTGCGCCCATTATGCATTATGAAAGAAATTGCTCAGTTCACATACAGGTTGTACAATATAATATACAAAATGATAAGAGTTTCGATTATATTATAGTGAAGTCGGAAGTTACTCGATTATATAGTTACTCTTAGATTACTATTTGGGGTAACCCACACATAATTTTAATATTTTCTAAATACAGTTAAATATTTTCAAGAAAATATAGTTGTCAAAATGTTTAAAAAAAGTTCCGTAAATAATTATGAAATATTTTAGTTATATTTTTTGGCCAATTAGTTCACAAGTTCACTGCAGCTATAGATATAATAAGACATTATCTGTTTCCGTAAGTCTAGTTTTTACGATATTTAATGCTGGTTATGATCATTAATGATAAATAATTGTATTGTAATAATTGTAACTACCTATTTTACATGATTATACATGATGCTCATAAAATATGCTTAAGAATTAAAATATCTTTAAAACCGACGTACAAAGCACATTTTATAAATTATTATATATCATTAATGTTCTTACCTTACAATTTGACATAATTAATCGATTTTATTCAACTCTAATATTAAGACCAACAGCACAAAAATGATTTTGCTGTAGGTACGTTAATTTGGTTAATGCTGTCTAGGTAGGCATAATATAATTATTTCTTTATTTTTATGTTTGTAAGACGACGAAGACTACTCACGAGTGTGTGAAGTCCTCCTAATTGTTGTTCAGTATTCAAATATTGTCACGCGCCATTGCTATGTGTAGCCCACGAGACTTTTCTCCGATCTCGTCTGTCGGATGAGAAATGTTGGCAAAAAAATGCCACTATAGAAATATCGAAATTGTGACGTCACACATTATGCTTAGCGACAATTTATTTAATGTTCCCAGCGTCGTCCGGACTAGGCGTTCTACGTCAAGACAAAATAATGCACATCAAATGATTCTCAAAAGTCTGATAAAATAGATAGTTTACGCAAATTATTAGTAAATGTGCTGTATCCCTTCTTATACCGTTTGACCGCGATATAAGTATTTGGTTTTTCTTTTCTGAACCAGGTTTTTTAAACGAATTCGAGTCGGCGAACATGACGAACGTGGTAACACTTAGGTACTTTCAGTTGCCAAAGTAATACCATTATTATCTAGTTTTGGAATAATCTCGCATTCTCGAGGATATAAGTAGATATCAGAGCGTTTTCACCCACAATTCGAACACGATACTATCGTTATTATTATTTCAACTCGAACGATGCTACCCAGACGGGTGTGGGTACCTCGTTATAACAACGACCACAACAATAACAACAACAACAACAACGACGACGACGACGATATTATAATGTAGCCGTCGTGGAGATGGCGCGTCGGTCGTGGCCCGTCAGGCTGCGCCGGTATCGCCACCGCCGAGTATCGTCGTCGTGCCGTGGGGTGCCGGGTGAAGCGTCGGCGGCGGTGTGGGTCGAGGGGTTGGTGCGGGGGGAGAGGGGACGCCGCCGCCGCGTTGGGCACGCGGCGTTGCCGGACCGTTGCGCGTGCGGCGTTCACCGCGAGAACGTTTTCGCCGTCGACACTCGTCGTCAGTATCGTATCGTCGGCCGTACCGTTTGTGCGTCTGTGCCTGTGCTTTACATTCGCGCGTCCGTCCGCCGTCGTACCGTCGTCGTCGGTTTTTAAGTCGATTTTTGTTTTGTTTTTGTAGAATTTTGTGGCTCTCAAAAAGTTAAAAAAAAAAAAAAATACGCTCTTTTTTAACGTAATATTATAATATCAACTGTCCGCGGGTTCCGTTCGATAGTTTTTAGCCCCGCAGAACCACTGTCGCTGGGACGAGAAACGCGCCCGCACGACATCGTTTTTTCCACATTTCGGGAAACACTATGCTCCGACCGTGGGCCAACGCCGCAGCCGCGCACGACCGACGTGACCAGGTCGCGGCCGCCGCCGTTCCAACGCGCTGTTAACGACACTCGCGTGCTCGTGTAATAATTCCGTCCGCGGCGGACACGCTCAGGGGATAATCGGCCGAGGAGTATACCTCTCGGGCCCGGCGTGTCTAGTCGTCGTCTTAACGAGAGCACTTTTTTTTTTGCGTTTTCCGCGATATAATATCGGCCCGAGCCGACCGACCACCGCAGTCGCATCACCACCGCCGCCTAACCTAACCATGGTTCTGTTCGACAACCTGTTCGGGTTCCCCGGGCTACCGGGCTGCCTTCGATTCTTCTCGCCACCGTCCGCGGCCGCCGGGCGACGGCCCACGTCAGCGACTATGCGCGGCGTGTCGTGCACCAAGATCACGTCGTGCCTCACGCTGGTCCTGCTCATATGCTTCGAGACGGTCCTGCTGTCCACCGTCAGCGATTGCACCAAGTCATTCACAGTGCACTGGAACACGTCGAATTCAATGTGAGTACCGACCGAGGCTAAAACCACCCCCATCCTAACACGACTCCGTCAGCCAGTAAACTTCTCCAAGCCTTGCCCCCTCTACCCCACACACACACACAAATCATCCCCCGGCGGCAAAATAGACCGCACCGAACGCGCGTGTACCCCAGTATATATATAATATACGTATGTATTGACTTTGGACAAAAACACTGATGTATTTATTTAGGTGTATTTTTGCACTGGGTACACTGTAGTTGTTTCGGGCCGTCGGTTCAAAATAATATGTTAAAATATAATATTACTTTACTCTTTTTACCATTATTGTATTATAATAATATTGCCTTTTTTATTGTTTATATTAATGCCTAATTGAAATTTGTGTCGCTTATTGTGTTATTATATTATTATTATTCTATATGTCGAGGCGATTTTGTATTGTTTCGTCGCGTTTTCTCGTGAGAAACACAAAATTAGAAGTATGTGTGTGTTTGTGTGTGTGTACCCATAATATACGGAAAAAAATTATAATTTTTTATCTACCTACCTTTTTTAATGCGTGTGTGTGTGTGGTTCCCCCCGCGGGACGAAAACTCGTTTCGATAATGAGCAGTGACAGACGTGATGGAAATATCCGTGATGAAAGAAACATTGAACTTGACGAGAAGAGAGGAGTAGTAGTGAGCTATGGGTCAGGGCGGTTGGTCCTCTCCTCCCGTCGCTCACGTTCCATCGACGGCGGCGCGTCTAATAGTCCGTGTTTCCTGGATATAAAATATATAATAATACCATCAGTGGCGTTGAAGGGGGCTACGACGATTTTTTATTTTCGTTTGTTTCTGTTTTCGATTTATTTCTGCGTCATATTGGGCACGTCAAATCGGCCGGTAAAATCGTAAAACGTAGGTGTGTGTGTGTGTAGACGCAAGAGCACCGCGAAGGGTACCTATATGTACAGCAATGATAATATATTATTTGATTATATTATTAATTATTGCACTCGGCAAGGGTCGAGGTGACACGAGTATGTATTTCAGTGCCAACGATCGTTCGATCCGACGGGCATTTTACCGTCGTCGAAAAACTTTTTAAATTAACGGGTGGCCCGACGACTTTAACGTCCGTAATTTTCGGCGTCGTCGACGATGGGTAGGACGCTGTGTTAAACTATTAAATAGTTCGACCACTGAATTTTCCAACTCGCCGAGTTATTATTTGAAAAATTTCCCGTTTGCTTCTAATCGATTGTCGCCGGTGCTTAAATACCGAGAAAGTTAGCAAGTCAAAACAGAAATATTTTTTTTCAAATTTTATCTTGGAACCACGAACAGAGACATCCAAAAATTGATTCTTACTTCCATGTAATGTCATACCAAACGAGTCGTTAATCCAAACGTGGTTATCATGGCTCACTATAAAAACTTTACTAGGAAAACAGCATTCTAGTCGTCCTGCCCGTTTTTAAATAGGTATATTTTTTTTTTCTGAACGCACACCACTTGGCTCATGTAATACCTACGTACCTACAAGAATAATATGTAATACTATTTTCTTTGTCGTCGTTCGTCCAAAGCGTGTTGAATGACAGACGTGGTAGCTGTCCAAAGCGACACGATTTTTATTATTATTAAAAAACCGAACCTCTTGAAAATAATATAACAGTAATAATAAATGATAACTTTGCGTTTATTGCTAATTTTATTGTCGACTATCGAGTTATAGGCCAAGATAACGAACTCGATGTAAGTCATCGTTTTGCCAGATGTGTACCTATGAAAAAAAAAAAAAAAAACCGAAATGAAATCTGAGAAATGTTAATACGGTTGTTAGAGTATATATATCGGCCGCCGGACTGTCGTTTGCTTCGCGGCGAATAGGCACACATAATATTCTGTAAGACGGTATAGAAATATATATATATGAGAGTCGGTCAATTTGTCACATTTAAAAAACGTCTCGATAAATCATATTATTATTTTACAATATTTTACAAGACACACAATAATATATGTTAATACACGGTTATCGTGGCCACACACAATAGACACACGTCTGCCACAACACACGAAGACGCGTGTTTTTTTCTTTCTCTTGAGCGGGCTGCTTTTTTGTTTCAGCGATTTTCGTCACATTTTAAGACGCGTTCCCTGCAGCCACTTGTCCCGACGCAATATATTATAATAACATGTGGTGTACACCCTTCGGAGTGCGGGTCGCGGGGGCGGGGATGACAAAAGTGAATGTTTTTTGTTGTTTTTTTTTAAATTTATAAAGAAATAAACTACCTGCCTAGTAAAAACGGATTTTAATATTATTATACACCTATATATATATATATATTTTATTATTATTTTTTTTTCCAACCGATAATAATATTCTCTTCTCGGGGGCCCCGACCGTAACCGGTTTCGATCCGTCCGCGTGTGTCCGAACGGAGGGAGTTTGTCCGAGTGTGTGTGTGTGTGTGTGTGTTAACCTTGGGAATTTGATGAATGTTCATGATTCCTCCGGACGCGCTCTGCAACGCTGTATATAAAGAGTTCTCCCGACTGGCGAGCAGGGGAAACAAACGGAGAGGTTTTTTTTTTCCTTTCCACATTTTTTTCCATTTTTATCTCGTAACCTCTTCTCGTACCCCCGCCCACCCCCGGGCAAGCATAATGGATCGATAGCATTTGATAAGACGACCGTGATTTATACGTCCCATGTTCGGGAAGTTCCGTGAGAAAATTTACCGAAAAAATTGCCACGATTCGTAGCGTATGTGTCTTACAATACATTTGTTCATATACATATAATATGTACCATTTATATACCAATAATATTATATTGAAAATTTATCTCTTGGAAACGTTTTTTTTTTTATTCCCGTTTTCTATCTTTATTATTCATTATTATTATTTTTGTTGTTGAAATACGCCAAACGATTAATGTTTCTATGAACTCAATTGTTCGCCATGCACGAAAATCACAGACTATTTTTCAAATTTATAATTTACACGCCAATAAAGACGATAACGAGCATAATATTATCGCTGATTTCATTGATGCTGTTTTTTTTCCTGTTGATAAAGTTTATGTTTGCTTTATAATCATAAGTGTATTTGCTATCTTAAAATATTGTTCTCTTACGCTGGTTCAAATAGGACAATATAACGCATTGTATTTGAATTAAAAACGAAATTATGACTAATATTGAAAACATAATAATGTATAATGTTTAATATTAACTGTAACTGTCGATTTCATATGAAAAAGGTTCTTTTACAAAATAACAACACTATGAGTGGAGTGAATATTTTCCATTGTGAACGATTGTGAAACAATTAGTATATATTGCATAACAATCATAATTATGTGATTGGTATATACTTTAATTCGCTGCAGATTAAATTATTTATGACATAAACTCCACTAATCCGCTACCTATACGTTAATTAAATTTTAAGAAATTAGTTTTAGAATTTGATGATGACAGTTATACTTTGAGTTTACCCTTTATATTAATTATTATACCTACTTTTACTGCGTACATTATTGTCGCCGTAGTTATTACTTTTTTAAGTTTTTATTTTTCCAATTTAAACATAATTACGTGCACTTACCTTTGTACAATATAAAGTTTTAAACGTCATTGTATTTATTATTTATTCTTTTATAGGTATATGCCGCTCATTGTTGCATGTTTTTTTTTCATTCACGCGCAAACAATATTTATAATCAATTTAAAGTGTTATCAAACAATCTACACCATTTACACTTACTTGTAGTTATAATATGATACATCCTAGTTAAGACGACATGCACACAATCGTCCGTTAATATTGTGTAATGTTACACTTCCAACCACTATATTCTTAGTTAATGCACCGCATCCCGACTTGAACATTAAATAAAAACTTAGTTTCCACTGTTCAAAATTATATGTATATAAAAATTATAAAATAAAACCGACAACTCATATTATATTATATAAGTATAGGCACTATACAATTTGAACTATAGGTATTATATTATAGTATGTCATTCTCCCGCGCTTCTTGCGAGGATTATCAACCAAAGGCCGCCCCGGATAACCGTTCAAATATATATAGTACCCACCTATGCCTTATATATAATACATTATTATTATACTCGTTTGTGATAATATATTGTTATTACCGCGTAAGATAGCAGGTGCATTTTTGTTATTCATCGCGACAAACGTGGTAGGTCCACGGCTGGAGTTCGGTTATTTTGACATTAATCAATGACGTTGGCGATTCGAACAATATACGTCCTACCAGACTACACAATAATATAATATTATCATACCGTCTTGGTCATCGTTTTCCGCATACGCATGTAAAATATGTATCATAATATTATGGTGGTCGTGGAAAAAATTAAATAATAGTATTTTACGCACCACCGCGGGTGAAGGTGGCCGAGTGTCGAGGTGGTCGGCCAGGGGGGGGAGGGGTGTAAAATCGGTACTCATATAAATAATATATAAGCGACCACCCCGCCGACCTCACGGTTTTTAGAGGTAGCCGCTTGTTCGTGTCGCTCTCCGCGGGGACGAAATACTCGAGTCTCGGTCGGGGTGTGCGGGTCGAGATATGGGTGTGCGGAGTGGTGGTAAGGGTAGGTCGGCTGCCGGGGGGCAAAAGTGTCAAACGGACGACGACGACCCCTTTTTCTCCTCTGCCGCACAAGCCGGTACCGACAACGCTTGCGAGAAGCGCCTCCGACCTATGTGACTTTTTGGTTTCGTTTTTTAATTTAATATTATTATTATTTGTATTGCATACACGCGAAATCTTAATGTTGTACGATGGATAATAACTGGATCATCATTCATCACCGTGCGTCGCCTTTGCGAGCGCCACTCCGGAATTGAGCACACTCGGGTACCTGCTATATTATAATGGTAGATACAACAATTTTCGCGGGGTTTCGTGTTGTAATATGTAGGTATATTGTATACCTAGGTGTCGGTAATAGCGTCTCTCGCGAGTCGTAGGTACCACGAGTGCAAGCAAGAGACCGATTCGAAACGAAACGAAAAA